GGTGTCAAAAAACCAACCAAATAGAAGATATTCTTTAATTCTTTGTTGCGGTGATGTTCGTCAAAAACCAAGGTTTCAAAAAACTAACCAAATAGAAGATATTCTTTAATTCTTTGTTGCGGTGATGTTCGTCAAAAGCCAAGGTTTCAAAAAACCAACCAAATAGAAGATATAGAAGATATTGGTGGTGCTGCTGCTGCTGCCGCTGCTGCCGCTGCTGCTGCCACTGCCGCCGCTGCCGCCGCTGCCGCCGCTGCCGCCGCTGCCGCCGCTGCCGCCGCGGCTGCTGCTGCTGCTGCTGGCTGTTGGGGCTGCTGGGGCTGCTGGGGCTGCTGGGGCTGCTGCTGCTGATGCCAAATAGCCCTGAAACTGACATTTTCCATTTTGTCTTGGCTGCAGATACGCCCCGGACCGGAAACATAGAAGATATTCTTTAATTCTTTGTTGCGGTGATTTTTGTCAAAATCCAAGGTGTCAAAAAACCAACCAAGTAGAAGATATTCTTTAATTCTTTGTTGCGGTGATGTTCGTCAAAAACCCAGGTTTCAAAAAACCAACCAAATAGAAGCTATTCTTTAATTCTTTGTTGCGGTGATGTTCGTCAAAAACCAAGGCTTCAAAAAACCAAACAAATCCAAGATATTGGTGCTGCTGCTGCTGCTGCTGCTGCTGCCGCTGCCGCTGCCGCCGCCGCCGCTGCTGCTGCTGCTGTGGCTGCTGCTGCTGCTGCTGCTGCTGCTGCCGCTGCTGCCGCTGCCGCCGCTGCCGCTGGCGCCGCCGCCGCCGCCGCCGCTGCTGCTGCTGCTACCAAATGGCCCTGAAACTGACATTTTCCATTTTGTCTTGGCTGCAGATACGCCCCAGACCGGAAACATAGAAGATATTCTTTAATTCTTTGTTGCCTTGATGCTTGTCAGCTGCTGCTGCTGCTGCTGGCTGCTGCTGCTGCTGCTGCTGCTGGCTGCTGCTGGGCTGCTGGCTGCTGGCTGGGCTGCTGGTGCTGGGGCTGCTGGGGCGCTGGGCCTGCTGCTGGCTGCTGGGGCTGCTGCTGGGCTGCTGGGGCTGCTGGGGCTGCTGGCTGCTGGGGCTGCTGGGGCTGCTGGGGCTGCTGGCTGCGCTGCTGGCTGCTGGGGCTGCTGGGGCTGCTGGCTGCTGGGGCTGCTGGGGCTGCTGGCTGGCTGCTGGCTGCTGGCTGCTGGGGCTCTGCTGCTGATACCAAATAGCCTTGAAACTGACATTTTCCATTTTGTCTTGAATGCAAATACGCCCCCGACCGGAAACATACAAAATATTCGTCAATTCTTTGTTGCGGTGATGTTCGTCAAAAAACAAGGTTTCAAAAAACTAACCAAATAGAAGATATTGGTGCTGCTGCTGCTGCTGCCGCTGCGGCTGCTGCTACTGCTGATACCAAATAGCCCTGAAACCGATCAAATAGAAGATATTCATTGAATTTATTTCCATGGCCATTTCTGCCAGACCGATCAAATAGAAGATATTCATTGAATTAATTTCCATGGCTGATACCCCTCCCAATTAATTATTGAGTATCTTCTATTTTGTCGGCCAATTTGTACACCAATATCTTCTATTTGGTCGGTTTTTTTCAACCTGGTTTGTGGCTAACATCACACCCAAAAAAACAAAAAAACGATGTTTTTTGCGTTTTTTTCAGAAGAAATCCAAAAAAGGGTCCGTCGCAGATGGTCCTCCTCCGGGGGAGGACCTCTGTGCGGATTTGAATTTTTCTAGTATCTTCTATTTAACCTGGAAATGTGAAAACACTGCAAATACCAGTGTTTCAGTGCCCTGTTATGTCAGAAGGTCTGTGGGTTAAAACTTAAAAAAGGACACTAAATAACCCTCGAGACCGGCTCTTGGAGGACCCTTTGCGACAAGGAGTATCTTCTATCTGTTTTGTTGATTTTACACCCCCAATTTTGCATCTTCTATGTTTCTTTACTATTTAATATCTTCTATCACGGGGGTATGTAATATATCTGGTGAAAGCCCACAGTGTTCCACGATGGAACCGGATTCATGGTTTCCAATTGAGCAGCATCAAAAACATCCATAAAGGGATTTAGTATTCGGGTTCATGTGGGAGCCGTCCGTAAAAGCAGATAACAAATTTATGAATTGATGCGTTTACTCTGCTTTGCGCGATTGACAAAACCTGCATCGCGATAGGCTGAGCGATTGGTTGGCGATTGACTATACGGCTACGACAACAACAACAACAACAACAACAACTACTACTACTACTACTCCTGCTACTACTACTACTATTACTACTACTACTACTACTACTACTACTAGTACTACTACTAGTACTACTGCTACTACTACTACTACTGCTACTACTACTACTACTACTACTACTAGTACTACTAGTACTACTAGTACTACTACTACTACGACGACGACGACGACTACTACTACTACTACTAGTACTACTAGTACTACTAGTACTACTAGTACTACTAGTACTACTAGTACTACTAGTACTACTAGTACTACTAGTACTACTAGTACTACTAGTACTACTAGTACTACTAGTACTACTAGTACTATTAGTACTACTAGTACTACTGCTGCTGGTACTACTGTGAGTTTTCCGGACCGTTTCCGGACCGCGCAAGCTTATTTTGCTCCCAAATTTGAAATCGAATGCGTTCACGCATGGATCCTTACTCTCATTACTAGACTTGCTACTATTCTTAGTACTACCACCACACCCGCTGCTCCTGCACCACCACTACCACTAGTACACCTAGGAATTTCTTCCTTTGCTTTAAAATCCAATTGACACGAGTCCCACTGAAGGGTCAGAAACCAGTCAGAAACCAGTCAGAAACCTGTCAGAAACCTGCCAAACGCAACCATCTGTTTCCCCCTCCCTCCCTCTCTCTCTCTTTCTCTCTTTCCCTCCCTCTCCCTTTCTTTCCTTGCCCTGCTACTAGAACTCCTACTACTATTCCTACTCCGACTCCTACTCCTACTCTTACCCCTACTACTACTACAGCAGAAAAGCAATGATATTACAAAGAAGTAGCATATTTTTTTTGTCACGATTTATTATATAATCAATAACTTATATTTTATGTATATGATCTGATCAACGAAGAACAAACCTTTCCGCGATTGCTCACTGTGGTACCGCGGCGATTGGCTGAGCGATTGTGGGCTGTCCGGGAAAAGGTATTTTGGACAACCCCCATGTAGGGAACCTTCCGCGAAAGCAAAACCTCCACGCGCGAAAGCCGTGCGAAAGCTCCGCGAAAGGAGTGCGCCAAGGTCACGCCGCGAAAGCGGCCGCGAAAGCAGATGACTAGTGTAAAACATCATTTACGACGAATATTTTCCGCGAAAGCCGCCGCGAAAGATATTGCGAAAAAAATCTCGCCGCGAAAGCCAAAACTGTGCGCGCGAAAGCACCGCGAAAGCCGTCGCGAAAGTTTTTCTATAGTAGAACCAGATCGCTACCCGGTTTACGACGCCGCTCAACTGGTTTGTAATTTTCGTGGGGGGAGGATGTTTCCACGCTATTCGTTTTGGGGGTTCCCTGGCCATCCGTGAGCCTCGCGAAGGCCTCGCGTAGACTCCGGAAAGCCTCGCGGAGCCTCCTAGTTAGAAAGTTGTATAAGTTTAAATTTGTGATCTGAACGCATAATTCTTTAGCGCCGCAATGTAAATACAAATATTGAAGTAGATTTGTTTATATATCATATCCCGGTGATGCTGTTGAAACCTGTGTGACCATTGGGATTCTACATGAAAAGCAAGTGATCTGACTGTATGCAAACGACATCCCAGCAATGTAAATACCAACTTTAAAGTGGATTTGCTTATATCCCTTTGATGCTGTTGAAACCTGCGTGGCCATGGGGATCTAGTGTGACAAGCATGCGACTTGATTGTGCGCTAACGACATCCGCGCAATGGAAATCCACACATTAACTAGCTTCTTTTTCATCTTGGCGCATGTTGGTTAAGGTGCGTGGCCATGGGGTTTGCGTTGAAGTGATGTGACTTTTTGCAACCTGATGTGACTTTCGTGAACTAGCATGGCCATGCAGTGATGTGACTTTCGGGGGCGTGATGTGACTTAGGGCGGCCGCTCGTATCATCCAATCTGATGGACAATTTTGAACACGTCCCAAGCATGTGTCAAACTACTGAGTTGATTGGAGCCGTAGCTTGGCCAAACAATTCGCGAGCTCACTGGGCTAGTGGGGCGCCAGGGCGGGGGGCAGCCCGGCGTTTCGAGCAGCGATGTGGCGATGCGTTTTGCAAAACGCAGAAAACTGCGACCTGCGAGTCCTGCAAGTCCTGCGAGTTGTGATTTTGGGGTGTCAGTCCGGTTTGAAGATCACTGGTATGTGGAGTTGTCATGAGTTGTCTCAAAATTTTGAACCATTTTGAAACCCAAAACCATTGTTAAAGCATCATTTTCCTGCATTTTTCTACTGATTTTCGTTTTTTTTCACATGAGATATTCTATGACTCATTTTGCAGACAAAGCGACAGTAGTTCTATTCCAGTTATTTTACACCTTGTGTGGTGCATGGCGACATGGCACCAAGTCGTCAAAATCGGATGTTTCAGGGATGACAATCAAAATGTGTGTGGAAAGTGGTAAACCAAATGCCAAAAACCACCCCCATTGACTTCCCAGCTTACCAGAAATGCATAGGCATATACCATCAACAATTGGAGATTTGTGGCGTTGGGTTTACCCCATTTCCATCCATTTCCACCAAAATTTGATGTGATGGGATATGTAGAACCAACATGCACCAACGTTGATACGATTTTTTTTTGGCTTTGCCGCACGATGGGCCCAAACGTCATCACCTCATGGCCAGAAAAGCAACAACTTATAGCATTGTTATGAGTATTTTTTCAGTGCCGAACGCTATGCAAAAGCACATGCTCCCTGAAAATTGTCCCTTTGATTTAAACACAGCACCTATCGCTCTCGGCTGCCATGATTCCGCATGTCCAAGTACGGAAGGTGCCGGGGTTGGACACGAGATGGCAGGATAGGGTTGATGGTATTGGTTGGTGTTACATGGAACATCACGGGACAGGAATTCGACAAAGCATGGTTTTGGAAGGTCCTATGACTTGACGACATGGCCGTGCGTTGCGCTGAAAAAAATCGGCACGTGTTTTTTGATTTGTATCCCTGGACCTCTAGGATTCAGACCGGCAAAAAACATGGCTATCATTACTTGGATTTGTGCAACGTTTGATGCTTGTGAGTCATCATGAATCATCTTTTCGCTTGCTTCCTGGGTTATGGATGGAGGGAGATGCAAGAGTTTTCTCAAATAGAACAGGTTTTTCGAAAGAAATGAGTTGCGAGAAGAACATCCACAAGGTGAAACACTAGGTATATAATTGATCCTAGTTCTGAGATGTTATGAGCCAGAATACAATATTCCAGGTATATTCCAGGTATATTCCAGGTATATTCCAGGTATATTCCAGGTATATTCCAGGTATATAGTGGTATCATTCCATATATTCCATGAGCCGGATCCTCAGTGATCAATCCAAGAATTTTCGCCAAATGAGGGAGGCAAGTCCAGCCCGCCTCACCTTGGTGCAAAATGTGAGGGATGTCCGGAATAATTCGCAATAATAGTTTAATTAATAGCATTTGAACGGGGGAAATCATGGGAAATCATGATTTAATATGATTTAATCATGTGTAGTTTTAGAATTGTATCTTGTGTTTTCAGACAAAACCTTGTATTCGCGTTCCAAATTCTTTGAAGGGCCCTTGTCATGCTGATCTTCCCACCCTGCTGCTTGGGGACTTGCTCAGTTGTTTTCTAGTTTGGGTGATCCCAACCCTAAAAAGTGATTCATGCTTCGAACTTCGAACTATAGTCACCCCCGAACAGATGGAAACGCCGTTTTCAATCATTTTATATGATTCTAAATAGTGCACAGTTACTTTTCTATTTTTTTGGGGGCTTGTACTTCTCTACAGTATCTCTCGTTGGAGTGGCGGTGTTTTATGCAATCAGAACCTGAGCCTGCCAACGCTCCAAAACTTGCCACACATGTCTCTGATTATCACCAAAACACAGTGATGTAACATCAATAGTCTCAATACTCTGTGGTTATCGAAGCTGGGGATACTTAAACAATCTTAAACAGTTGCAGATGACACCCGTATCAAATTTCCGAGCCAGTTAGATTTGAGTGCTAAAAGATGCTAAACGTCTCAGAGGATAAAGGTCCCCCGTTTCAACCTGGTCCCCTCGTTCAGAACATTGCCGATCGTCGGATTCGGCGAAGCCCCGCGGCAGGTTTCTCCTTCCCGGCGCCCTGCACCAGACGTGACTTTCAACGGCGTCGAGCTTAATGCGGATGGAATGGATCAACGCTTTTATGAAGACACTGGCTTCAAACACATAGTGAACATGTGTCAAAAAAATCTCAGCAGCTCGTTACAGTCGAACTTGCAGCTTCATATTTGCTTTAAAAAAACATATGATTGTTCCAATGAAGATTTGGAGATCTTTGAAGTGTGACAGCAGGGTCACAGTATGGAAAGGTGGGACCTGCCAACCAACGATTAAGTGTTGAGGCGCAACTTTGACGCAAACCACGATGCAGCTGGCATCGGAGTAGCAGAGCGCAAACTGCAACTTCCTGTGAATCTGCGCCCTGCGGTGCAATAGAGCAGACGAACTCAGATCAGATCGCAGCTGATCGCTTAACATCCCAGTGTGATCTCTTGGTCCAAGACCTTGCTTCAGCATAAATTTCTGGCCTCGACCCGAGGAATATGTCCAAATTGAACATCGAAAGTGGGCCCAGTGGGTCTCAAATCTGGTTGGCACCAAAGACAACATGTCATTACGACAACTGCCCCGGTAGCAGCTGCATGTTTGAGCAGCCACCTTTACAAGCGAACGACAGCGGAAAGCTTGACTCTGAGCTACCACGTTTCCAGTGGCCTGCAATTATTTCAAGTGAAATTGGATCTAGAGGTCGCCGGCCAGCCAGTCCTTATCCATGAAAAGCATTGAAAATCCGGCATCGTTAAAGCCAGTTCGACAAAACTCACTGCGCTCGCTGTATTCTGTGCGGCTACGCTGGAACACAGGGGCAGCCACTGGAGGCACACTTGGTCCAAGACTTCGCGTCATAAGATCGCCCGTCCATCTCTGAGATGCTCGGGCAAGGGACCAGAGAGACGAAACGCCTTGAACATTGAAAGTTGTTCACCTAATGGGTCTCGAATGTCTCGGAGCATGCAGATCCAATGTAGAGTTTTGCCGTTTTTTTCTGCCAGGCTTGGGCTCCCAATGCCAAATATGGTTGAAAACAGTTAACTACATTCTGGGAGACTGGCGAGCATTTCAAGCAGCACAGGATTGAACGGTACTTATCCTGTAGCCCTGTTCGTAGCATTTTTTTGCCTTTGCAATTCGTGCCACATTTCTAAAAATGATTGCGAATTCCTAGAACATGCCAAAGGCACAAATCCTCACAAATCACAATGTGTAAGCAGCGAGTAAGCTATTGAGTGCGGGGGGGATCGGACAGCAGACTGCTGCCCGGTAACTCGCTGAGGCACAACTTTTTTGCAAACGACGATGCAGCTGGCATCGGAGTAGCAGAGCTCAAACTGCAGTGTCTTCCTGTGAAGCTGCGGCCTGAATCGGACGCAATTGGAGCAGACGAACTCAGATGACCCGCAGATCGCAGCTGATCGCTTAACATCCCAGTGTGATCTCTTGGTCCAAGACCTTGCTTCAGCATAAATTTCTGGCCTCGACCCGAGGAATATGTCCAAATTGAACATCGAAAGTGGGCCCAGTGGGTCTCAAATCTGGTTGGCACCAAAGACAACATGTCATTACGACAACTGCCCCGGTAGCAGCTGCATGTTTGAGCAACCACCTTTACAAGCGAACGACAGCGGAAAGCTTGACTCTGAGCTACCACGTTTCCAGTGGCCTGCAATTATTTCAAGTGAAATTGGATCTAGAGGTCGCCGGCAAGCCAGTCCTTATCCATGAAAGGCATTGAAAATCCGGCATCGTTAAAGCCAGTTCGACAAAACTCACTGCGCTCGCTGTATTCTGTGCGGCTACGCTGGAACACAGGGGCCAACGATTGAGTCAAGGGAGGTTCGGACAGCAGACTGCTGCCCGGTAACTCGCTGAGGCACAACTTTTTTGCAAACGACGATGCAGCTGGCATCGGAGTAGCAGAGCTCAAACTGCAGTGTCTTCCTGTGAAGCTGCGGCCTGAATCGGACGCAATTGGAGCAGACGAACTCAGATGACCCGCAGATCGCAGCTGATCGCTTAACATCCCAGTGTGATCTCTTTGTCCAAGACCTTGCTTCAGCATAAATTTCTGGCCTCGACCCGAGGAATATGTCCAAATTGAACATCGAAAGTGGGCCCAGTGGGTCTCAAATCTGGTTGGCACCAAAGACAACATGTCATTGCGACAACTGCCCCGGTAGCAGCTGCATGTTTGAGCAGCCACCTTTACAAGCGAACGACAGCGGAAAGCTTGACTCTGAGCTACCACGTTTCCAGTGGCCTGCAATTATTTCAAGTGAAATTGGATCTAGAGGTCGCCGGCAAGCCAGTCCTTACCCATGAAAAGCATTGAAAATCCGGCATCGTTAAAGCCAGTTCGACAAAACTCATTGCGCTCGCTGTATTCTGTGCGGCTACGCTGGAACACAGGGGCAGCCACTGGAGGCACACTTGGTCCAAGACTTCGCGTCATAAGATCGCCTGTCCATCTCTGAGATGCTCGGGCAAGGGCCCAGAGAGACGAAACGCCTTGAACATTGAAAGTGGTTCACCTAATGGGTCTCGAATGTCTCGGAGCATGCAGATCCAATGTAGAGTTTTGCCGTTTTTTTCTGCCAGGCTTGGGCTCCCAATGCCAAATATGGTTGAAAACAGTTAACTACATTCTGGGAGACTGGTGAGCATTTCAAGCAGCACAGGATTGAACGGTACTTATCCTGTAGCCCTGTTCGTAGCATTTTTTTGCCTTTGCAATTCGTGCCACATTTCTAAAAATGATTGCGAATTCCTAGAACATGCCAAAGGCACAAATCCTCGCAAATCACAATGTGTAAGCAGCGTGTAAGCTGCCGCGTAAGACTTTCCTTAGCGCCTTCAGAAGAACAAGACCTTTTGGCAATAGACCGAGCCTCGTGTTTGATTGGTTTCGACAAAGGGGATTTGGTCAGAAATACTCTCTGACAAACATTCCACATTCCAAGGATTTTCCCAGGGCAAGGTGTTTTCCCAAACTGATGCTTCTGTCTCAACGGCCACCCCCCAAAAAATAAAACAAACCTTGCAGATAGGTATCAAACATGCTATATGCCCTTCTGAAAGGTAGCCTGTCTCAACGATCTCAACGGTTCACGCCTCTTTTGCTTTTCTTTTGGGTTCCCGGAGGTCCCATAGACAAACACTTGGGTTGAGATGGGGGGTAATGAATTCTGCACGTTGATGTTCTTTCGTCGTCCGTCGTGTTTCAAGGTTTGCCAGCCAAAACTGCGTCCCGCCATTTCCCCAGTGGATATGTCGCTGATCCAATGGGCGGGATTTCAAGTGACAGCGGAGGATTTCACTTCAGCACTGGGCCACACTGGAAGGAGCAAAGGAAACTTGATACAGGGAAGAACGATCTTGAGAAAATCATGTTGAAAAGGAGATCCCTGAGACACTCGACCTGAAAGAACCCGAGCGCAGACCTTGCAAGTTGCCTTACTGGTGTATCCCTACCCTCTTAAAAATGGAATTTGAGGGGGGGGAGTCGTACTGAAATTTCATTTTAAAATTCCATTTTAAAATTCCATTTTTGCAATCATGCTTTCTCAATGATCAATATTCTTCATCATTCCATTTGAGGGGTTTGATCACTATCCCAGGGTTTCCAAGCAAAAAAAAGTGGAATTCGACAGGTTGGTTTTGTCCCCCCTGCCCTCCCCCTCTATAGGGGTAGGGATACTGGTGTTGAAGAACACATTGCCGCTGTTTCTTGGTTTTCTGCAACGCAGTCCAGCGTCTCAAGCAGCGCAAGATGGTCATTGTTTTGCAGACGTTATCAGGTCGTTCTGCATACCAGCTACCAGTAGTGACAATCCAAGGGATTGCTCCATCAGACGTGCTGCATAGAGGGCACAGAGGTAAAGCCAAGGAGCTTTTCGCAGGATGCGTTGTGGAAGTCCTCGCCCTGGTTCAGGGCCAACAGAATCACCAGAAGTTCAGCAAAACACAATATTGAGAGTTGAGAGATATTGAGAGATTCGTTACCTTTACATCAACAACATGTTTTGCAAGTCGACACATCAGGTTATTTTTTTGCCCGCTCAATGACCTACGCTAATCAGCAACCATTGCTAGGGAGGCTAGGACCCGGCATTCTGCTGGCCTGCCTTGGCGATGTTCCTGAACCGCCCTGAAAAGTGATCTTTCCAACCTTAGTTTAATCTTGGAAATGCCATGTTCTTTTGGCTCTTTCAGGTGGCTTTTTAAGGCAACGGTCTTGTCAAGCTTGTTTGAGCAACACCTGAACCACCGCAGTTGGGACGCATCTCAATGGGCTTCAAATGACGACTGTTGGCAGAAACAGTTACATTTCTGGAAGACTGTCAATCATTTCAAGCAGCACATAATTTCATGAAAAGCATTGAAAATCCGGCATCGTTAAAGCCAGTTCGACAAAACTCACTGCGCTCACAGTATTCTGTGCGGTTACACCGGAAGACATGGGCAGCCACTGGAGGCACACTTGCTCAAAACAGCCAGTGCAGGACTCAAGGTGCAGATGACCTAGGACTTGCTTCCTGAATTGAAGCTTTAGTGGATGGAAACGGAAACGGGCAACAAGTGTCCTGGTGTGAAGTCATGCCGTATTTTAAGACCGCAGGCGCAGCTTTGGAGTGTTCCATTGCATGCTTTCGACATCTTTCGACCCCGTGCTGTCCCTTCTTCCAAGTCGAATTATGCCTCAGCGTCAGCTTGCTCCAGGCAGCTGGAACCCGGCTTGCAGTACCCGGTTGTTAGAGCGATGTAGAGGGTAAGTCGCAGTTTCCTGTGATTTTGGGCTGTCCAGCGGCACATGAAGATTCAGATGCAGATGACACTGGACTTGTCGGGAAAGCCTGCGTTCCAGGGTAGGTAACTTATGGTAACTTCATACCTGGAATATCAGCTGACATCTCCGCCGATGAGGGATATTGAGCAGCCACTGGGCAATCAATTCTGCCACAGACATGGACACAGCAAAGCGAGTTTAAAAGCACCAAGAGCATATAAGATGTGAAACGGAACGCTCTGTTTTCCTAAGCCGCGGCCTTAACAGAGACCATTCCAACGCACCAGCGGGTCCAAAAACACAAAGTCATATCCTCTTCAAGGCCAAGCAGTTTTTCTACATGATGTCATTGCTGCGCTGAAGTTTGCTCAGAAATATAGCTATCATAGCTCTGCCAGGTAAACGCGCCGCACGGCTTAAAACCGCCACAGCAACACATGTCTTTCTAGGACCCGAGGGCGACAATGTGCAAATCATTTCAACCGTGTTGGGACGCGATCTTAAAGAAGCATAAAGCATTTAGGCTCCACTTCAAAGCAGGTGATTCCAAAATTCAAGCTTGCACCTAACCTGAGAAGATAATTATATTGAACACAATGCTTGGAGTCAGATCAACAGGGAACGAATTGCGCAACGAGAAGCGTTGACCGAAAATCAATCTGGAGGAACGGAGTTCAAAGTTTGTCGCGAACGCACCCCCCCGAGGTTTTGCAGGGGCGCAAAGCTTTGAGGAGCCCGGTAAGAACCACAATTCAATTCAACCTAGCTGGGCCTTAAGAGGACTGTTTGTTTTACGTCGTTTCACCACAAAATGCCCGTTTGACCTGTTCTGGTTGAAAGCTGCCAGCTTCCCTCAAAATTTGTCTAGTCGATCTAGTCTATTGTGAGCTGAGTACTGTGTCACCAAAGCTGCAAATCAAAGCATGCAAAGGGCCAACCGACTTGTGGTGAAACTTGCGTCCCATTGTGTCTCTAAACAAAACCACTCAAAATAACCTAAAACAATGACTGCATAGATGCAGCGTCCACAATTTGATTTCCAATCTTAGAGCCATATAAAACACCGAACATTAAAGGAAATAGATGATTGCTGGCGCACAGCGTCCCATGCTGATTTGCAAATTTTGCACCGACTTCTGTGACTTCCTGAATACGCAGCGTCCCATTGTGATTTGTTTTCAAACAGACGGTGCGCTGACTTTCCCGACTGGGTGTATTGGTAGCATGCGGAGAAGCCGGCTTTTGAATCAAAGATGGCAGTATAGTTATTCTGTACGATTCATTTCGATGTCGCCACGTTCAAACCGTTCAAACCTGTTTGTGCTTTATTCGCTGCCAAGAAAAGATCCACATTTAACCCGTTTTGTCTGAGAAATTTCCGCTTCTGACGGAACTTCTTGATTTTCAGTAATTATGCCTTGCGTATGGTTTCTCCATGGTACTGCAGGGTCAAGCCTGCAGTCAGGCATTGCTTGGGCAAGGGCAGGTATGAAATCTTTTGGGCTGGGATTCATCCGTGCAACACAGGTTACACTTCGTTGGAAACTTAATTTTCTGCCTGCCGCCATCTTTCATGTGCCCACATCATCAGCCACGACGTTGAAATAAATATCAACGCTTTCTTCTGGTGATTCGCAGTGCAGGTTCCAAACTGTGGCAGAAATATTTTCCAGATTAGGTTGGCAACTGCTTCAAAAGACAAAACCAACCTATCCCCATCAGTGCTGTTTAAGCTGTCCGATGAACCTGCTTGAGCTACCCGAAGCAGGATTGCCAGAAAAACGAGCAAGTTATGATGGCAAATCAGCATGATTGAAGATGCATGCACGCTATTTACACGCCCGAGGCGCCTAAGTTTCTCTGTTGCTTTGTGGGGCACTTTCTTTGAGGCTGGAAAGAGCAAAAGCCGGAGCGGGGTCCCAAATCATGAGAGCACTGCAAATATTCAATTTCCACGCCAAACATATTTGACTCATATTTCATAGGAGGCGGATGTGACCCAAGAGATCTGACCCCTATCCATTTGGCATATGTGTCCTGACATGTATACCCTCTCTAAATCTCTCTAAATCACTCTAAATCACTCTAAGTCACTCTAAATCACTCTAAGTCACTCTAAATCACTCTAAGTCACTCTAAATAACTCTTAACCATTCTCAGCCTTTGTGGGCCTTGGTTTTTGCAGTGAAATCCCTTGAAAATCGATCATTGCCATCACATGAATCTGGATTTTTGTTTAAGCTTATGTTTTGGGGCTCCCATGGTCTTCCCAAATCTCTTATCCTAAAGAGAGCAACCCACAGAAATTGAGACCAAGGGTCGCCACAAGATGCCACAAGAGCAATTCAAGTCTTGGAGTGGAAAGGGGTCAGATGCCTGAAACCTCGTAAATAACAGTGTTTGGGGCATGTGACCCCTATCCACTTATGGGGCGCCCCAAAATTGTCATGGGATGTGCCCACACAGCTCATGTCGGGTACCCAAAATGGGACTGGGGAGCTCCAGAAAAGTTTAGCAGCAGGGAGTGGGACATGGGAGATTTCACTACATTCAAGGTGGTATCCCAGGACTTGGGGGCTAAACCTCAAGTGGAAGGCGGTCACATGTAAGCTGTCACATCAGTTCCCTATGAATATTTGCTGCATGCCAATCCGATTGTGAGTAAGACGCGGGCCAAAGGTTCAGCCAAGCGTGAATGTAACAATCCCTCTTGTGTCGGAGCGTTGTTCAGCCTGGATGCTCCTTTGATTTCTAGGCTGAGGTGAGTCTGATTCCCCTGAGAAAAAAGAATATATGCGGTTACACGCTGACTTGTTCACCAAGTTGGACAAATGGAGACTTGCCCCAAGGCCTGAAAGAACGGAATATTCTCAGACCGCACAGGGTCATGCGCTGACCTGGAAGAGTCGTTCAATCTCCGCAGCGCATTTTGGGTGGACGGAAAATTTCGAGATTTTCTAGAAAACCCGACCCACGAGACTTGTTCCAAGCTCGGTGCAGTTTGGGATTTGTGGCCTTTCCTGAGGAAAACACAGCGGATTTGTGGGGTGGGACCCAGGAATTCAGGGCAGGGAGCGAGTTCTCACTGACACAGTTGCAGCTGCAAACCGTGCTATTCTGGATCTCAGCTTTGGCGTTGCCCCGGTTTGCTGTCACAGGGCTTATCAAACAAAGAGAGTCTCGGGTAATCTCGGGTCATGGGATTCAATTATAAGAAACACATGTTCAGAACCAGGCAAAATCCGGCCTTTGACCAACCTGAACGGTGGTTTTGTGGAATGTTTCTTGGACAGAGTTGGCCTGGGGTGTCAATTTCCCAACATATTTGGGCTATCAGTTCCAGTTTCCAGGTCAGTCATGGTTTTTTTCCAACTGTGGTGGGTATTGAAGCTTCAAAGCCAGAACTTCATTCCTGGAAAATTGACAGCTCCTTATGTGGATAGAACCTTTGGTTTCCCCATTAGTGAAATGAGAACCTTTCGTTACGCACTTAGGAAAAACATGGTTTCCCTCAATTTTTCACTTTCAAAGATTTGAAGTTTGGAACCACCAGCCATTCAACCGTGATGGGGAATGTTTTTTCCAGCTGCTGGCAAGCCTTGGCATTGCCGTGGTCATGGTCCGTGTGGCATCCTGGCACCATGCTGTGCGGGTGGCAAGTAGAAATTAGATGAAATCTAAAGCTGATTTGAATTGGGTTTGTTTGAAAATAGAGGAAAATATAGTATCCAAAATCCAATGGCATAATGTTTCCTACTGAAGTGGCCATTTGGGGATGATAGTTTCACACCCACCAGTCTCTGCCAGTGCCAGTGGTTCAGCTCTCGGCCTAAACAAGGCCACAGCCGCAGTGGCCACGCCGCAAAGTGTGAACCTGTCGGGAAACCCCATTTGTTGATGTCCTTGGGTCCCTGGTTGTTGACTGCTCCCAATTTCTGACATCATAGCAAAACCAAATATCATCCAATCTGATGAAAAAAATCAAGCATGTGTTTAGATACTTAGTTTGGAGCCGTCGGGATGGGATCTGCCCAGGATGGACCATGCGGGGGTTCCCCAGAGACGTGTGCCATCTTTGATGGATGTGACGGGTGTGGATGAAGGACCTTCCGACGTGCGTAAAATGCTCCAATTTCGCAAGAAATGATAAGACATGCATCTATGTTGGGGGATGGTCATCACGGTCCTCAATCCAATAGAGGATGATGTAATTTTCAAATCCCGTTATAAGCGTTCCCACTATGGGATGGATTGACCATGGCCCATTTGGAAGAGAATGATTCAGGACGTGTGTCAGCGCCAGCACTGTGAGCCTAGGTCCTTGCGGCGCGTCGGATGGCGGGGCAAGAGCTGAGCAATGCTGGGCGCTGAGCCTTTGACCGGCCTGCTACCGCTGTCAATGGATCTGGCGGCTGGTTCTTTGAAGCGGTCCCCGATAAGAAAGCAGAAACCATCGGAAAAAAACAAGGTAAAACATCAATTCCTATCCCGAACTACGGGTTGCTAAAGTTAGCCGAAGTGGGCTGCAAGCTACAAAACATCGACCTTCCGACATGCGTAAAATGCTCCAATTTCGCAAGAAATGATAAGACATGCATCTATATTGGGGGATGGTCATCATGGTCATCAATCCAATAGAGGTTGATGTAATTTTCAAATCCCATTATAAGCATTCCCACTATGGGATGGATTAACCATGGCCCATTTGGAAGAGAATGATTCAGGACGAGGTGTGTCAGCAGCAGCGCTGTGAGCCTAGGTCCTTGCGGCGCGTCGGATGGTGGGGCAAGAACTGAGCAATGCCGCTTGGTGCCCCGAAAAATGGGGATCTGGCCGACTGCAGAACAGGGGGTCTTCCGGCTGTGTTTTGCGGAGGGTTCTTGTGGAGTTGATGTTAAACATTGGTTTAAAAGGTATTCTGTTTGGGCGGACTCTGCCCAGCTGATGGAAAGGGCGCTGTCAAAAGACCGATGGATCCGATGGGAAATGGAAGGCACCACAGATGATTTTGGATAGGTTTTTAATTAGAACTAGCTCACCAATCACCAAGACGTCATTGAACAAAAGCCTTTGATCCAGGGCCCCAATTCGAAGCGGTCCCCAATTAGATAAGAAAGCAGAAACCATCGAGAAAAAAAACAAGGGAAAACATCAATTCCTATCCCGAACTGCGGGTTGCTAAAGTTAGCCGAAGTTGGGCTGCAAGCCACAAAGCATCGAGCAGTTCGCCACAATCAAATCAGGTTTGGGACTGATAACATATATCGAGAAAAGGCTTGAGCCATCTTTAGCCCATTCCCAATATTCAGGATATCTATGGGTTTGTCAGAACGGTGTCGCAGGGCTAAAACACAATGGCAGTGAAGGACGGATCGGGCCCGCGGCCGACAGCCCATAGTGCCAAACGTTGCTTTCTGAACTGCCTAGAAACTAGCTTCGAACCTTCAATTTGCTTGACTTCCTGCCCTACCAGCTTCCAAATTGCTTGCTGCGTCTTGCAGGTCTGAACGGACACTTGCTGCTGATAATTTCTCCTCTGAGCGCTCCCCCTGCTGCAAGCGGGGTTGGCGGATATTTTGCAGACAAAGCGACAGTAGTTCTACTCCAATTATTTTACACCTTGCGTGGCGCATGGCGACATGGCACCAAGCTCAAAATTGGATGTTGCAGGGATGACAAGCAGTTGTTTAATGAGACAATCAAAATGTGGGTGGAAAGTGGTAAACCAAATGCCAAAAACCACCCCCATTGACTTCCTAGCTTACAAGAAACGCATAGGCATAAACCATCAACAATTGGAGATTTGTGGCGTTGGGTTTACCCCATTTCCATCCATTTCCACCAAAATTTGATGTGATGTGATATGTAGAACCAACATGCACCAACGTTGATACGATTTTTTTTGGCTTTGCCGCACGATGGGCCCAAACGTCATCACCTCATGGCCAGAAAAGCAACAACTTATAGCATTGTTATGAGTATTTTTTCAGTGCCGAACGCTTTGCAAAAGCACATGCTCCCTGAAAATTGTCCCTTTGATTAAAAGAAACACCTATCGCTCTCGGCTGCCATGATTCCGCATGTCCAAGTACGGAAGGTGCCGGGGTTGGACACGAGATGGCAGGATAGGGTTGATGGTTTTGGTTGGTGTTACATGGAACATCACGGGACAGGAATTCGACAAAGCATGGTTTTGGAAGGTCCTATGACTTGACGACATGGCCGTGCGTTGTGCTGAAAAAAATCGGCACGTGTTTTTTGATTTGTATCCCTGGACCTCTAGGATTCAGACCGGCAAAAAACATGGCAGTCATTACTTGGATTTGTGCAACGTTTGATGCTTGTGAGTCATCATGAATCATATTTTTTGCTTGCTTCCTGGGTTAAGGAT